AATTTGCATATCCGAGTATTCTTGAGTTCGGTACCAAACAAGTCAGAAGCGCGTACAGCTTGCTACAATTTTCAATCGCATACGAAATATCCACGATAGGCCATCTTGCATACTCTACATCAGCTTCCATACTTACTCTTACTCTCTTCGACTTCATCAGGATTCTCTGCGCGGGTAGTGGAAACGTTTTACCATCCATTTGTGTCGTACTCGGAAGCACGGCGTCCTTCCAATGTTCGTTCTCGCTGTAGTAATCATGACTCTTAACAGCCTCCAAATCGATTGCTACTTGGCACATAGCGACATTCGCCGTTAACTAAAAAAGAAGTAATCGGTCCTTTTTAGTCTGGATGCTGGAACTCAACGGGAAAAGAAGTCCAATACAGTTGTACGTACGAATCGTGACAAATCGGCGACGATCGATCTTGCGACGTTTAGAACTCTCAAAGTAAATAACTCGGGTTTCAATAAGGTATACCTTAATAACTTTCCGAAGATTTAAGATTTAGTAACTTACACAAGAGAGAAGTAAAACCTAGGAAAAAAATTCTGTAAGTTTTGTTCCTCTCATATAAGTTTATAAACTGCTAGTAAAAATTTCTTGATTCCCTACGAATGATAGCCGGCTACCTGTCGCGGAATCCGAGCGTAATGCCGATCTTCGGCTCGAGAATGACGGATGTTCTTCGTTTGTTGTTCTGTGTTGCTGGCAGAATCTATTACGAATCCATTGAGGAGAGTGGACCACTCCAGGCAATCGATTCCGAATGGTTGACCGTAGGTGCCAGTGGAGATACAGGAAGAGGTCCACCTCGTCACACCACGCCGGCGAGAAGGCTGGGAGTGGCTCGACCGGAATTGCAACGTAGTTTATCCGCTGAGAGATGTTAGCTTTTCGTCAAAGGGTCCTATTAGTATGCGGTTAGTATTACGGCGCGTTGTATCAGGATACATTGAAGCAAGATACGACGCGCTATTAGCGATTCTCTGGCATGTGAACTACCAACCTCTTCGCCGTTCTCTCTCCATCCCACGGGCCATTCAGCCGCCCGCATCACCCGTTGTCTATACGCGAGTTCGTGTGTTTGTACCTATCGCGACACTTCTCGACTTCCTACGCTGGATCGCTTTGTGCGGGACGTTCGGTAGAAACGGGAACATTGGATCAGCCAATAAGACGATTAGTGCGCGCTCGACCCTTAACACTGCAATGTCGGAAATCGCCGCGTGTGCACATTCCAACGTGATCTACCGTAAAAGATCGACTGCTTCTACTGGCTCGGAGAGATACTTGGAATACTTCAGTGAATACCGCCATTTACGGCGACACGATGCTTCATGTGTCCCGAGACGTGCATTGGAATTTACGCATACTCTTCCGTACGATTAAATGGAAAAGGATCGTTTAAGTCATTACGCTGGTTATATTTCAATTACTTTGTATTTGTATGCGCATTCAGAGCGCATTCGTAGGAAAAAGAATGGTGACTCTAAATTCTTCCATATACGATAGAAGCAAAAAATATAGTCTTTTTCTTTTTTTATTATTTAAAATTGTCTCTTTCCATTTACAATAAAATATAACCTGGCGATCAGTTTTACAAATCAATTAATATTCCACAAAATAGGCTAAACGCATCCATTGTCTATCTTTTTTTCTTTTCATATTTTCACTATTTCAAACATGAACATGTACACATTTTTGGAAACGGAAAGAAAGAGACTTTTTTCGCGTATGTGCGAATGAACTATCGAAAGTAATTGTTATTAACTTTCCACCGGCATTTTTTTCACTCTTTGTCCACAAACTGAATCTTCGAATTTCAATACAAATTTTTATATTGTTCTGGACTCTATAAAAATGCAAAAAAATTTTTAAACTTGTAAAAGCTTTAACAACAGTTTTTATTATCATAACAATTTAATTGTATTTTATTTATTATTTTTATAGATTAAAATTTATCTTTTAAAATTTACAATATAAAAATCGATTGTACTTTTAAAATCCAACATTATCAGCTAAGAGTTCACATTACATGTACTGTCGCTGTTGATTAAGCATTTAAAAACGAGGGTTATAATTAGATATATAGTTGTAATTCGTTTTATATTTAAGCCAGTCATAGTCAGTTTTTATGTAAATATTTTTAAGTCATTTTGAGTACAATGTCATAAGTCAATCACAGAATCGAATTAGTACCTTATGGGGAGATTCTACTTTGGAGGGTAAAAAAAGTTGATTTTTTTTTTTACACTTTTTGCATCTCTAAAGTGTGTAGAATATGCCTGTAAAAGGATTTTGCAATATTCAAAATTTTAAAGCAATTTACGATTTGTTGAACTGGATTTTGCATCAATCAAGGTATTACGCGCAAAACAAGCAAGAATCGAAAGAAGAAGGGCTCAATGCAGCAAAATTTGCTTCAAACAAGAAAAGAAATTGATTTATATGCTAGGAATCGCTAATTAAATTAAGTTGCAAAATATATTAATACAAAGTTATTATAAAATAAAACTTTAACCGCGTTTTTCTCGAATTCGTTTTTCAAACTGGCGGAAAAAGTACAACTTCAACCAATCATCCGATTGACATGAAGTTTTTTTCCTACGAAAAATAAATAATTAAATAATTTTTATGGGCCATAAAAATTATTATGTCATAAATTTTCCAAAATAATTATTTCAGAACAGGTTCTTTGAACAGGTTGAAAGCGAAAAAAATTCGTGAAAATTGACTCTTAATTTCAAATAGCTATCATTTTGTAAATTTAAAAATTTTTCATATAAAATGAGATTTATGATCCCATAAATTTAATACATTTTAATACTAGAAAAAGGTCTAATACGGTTGAAGCTAGATCTT